GGGGTTTTCTCCTAACCAGATTAAAATGCTTTCAATGGAGATTCTCCATAGAGAATGTCCAGGACTAGGCTTAATCTGTGTCTGGGAAACCTGCCCTATGAGTTTCCAGGAACTGGTATAAATCTTACCCTTCCTTGGTATGGTTGGTGCTGTAATTTCCTTGAATCATATTGGTGAATGAAGGACATGTGCTCCAGCAACACTTTTGGGCTACCAATAGGGCTCAGTATGGGAACTGTGAACCATAAGCCATGAAGTAAAATGTCACTCACTGCAATTAAATAGTTCAATATTGTTGCACTGATCACCTTTTAAATGCAACTAAGCAATACAAATCTATACACTCCTTCAACCCCAAGTGCTGACCTGACATAATATCAATGCCTTTATTTTAGTCTAATGCAAGTGAATGTAAAAGATATAGGCTTAGTTGGATAACAAACACACACAATCATGAATGTGCTTGCGCAAACACAGACACAGACACGCACATGCACACACACACACACACACACACACACACACAGCTCACTGATTCCTGAAGCAGGCACTCTGTTGTTGTTCCTCCCATGTCTGACCAGGGCGTGTGTTTGCTGAATGGCCTGGTAATCTTTTCTCTGAGTGCTGTCCTTTCTGTAAGGTGCCTGGGTGCTCACATCGTGATACGATGTATTGGGCCACCAGTGACACTGTTATAAGTCTCATGGAGAGAAAATGAATTATCATGGAATGAAATGTAACTCAACTGGAAGATATTTTATTTTTCCAGCATTTAACTGAACTAAACTGGTCATAGCAGAATTGTTACAATTATGAATAACATTTCATGGAACATACCTGCTCAGCCATTGTACTCTCTGTCTCCATGTGAGAAATGGGTGCATTCATGAACCTGACATTGGTTCTTATGAACTTGGCATTGTACATTTGTGGGGTATTGTGTATTTTAAGCTGATCATATTCCTTGGGATCTCTCTTAGGATATGAATGGAATTTATAGACTTTATCAGGGTCCAATCTGTCAGGTATCTTCCCATCAAATATCCTGTATGTATTTGAGCTAAAACAGAGGGAAAGAGTCAATCTTACTTAAAGTTTGCAACACCAAAAAAAACAGCAGGAAATAGGCCTACCTCCAAATCACATACAGCATTACCAATGCTGTTATTGCAATAGGACATAGCCTAACAAATAGAAACAATTCACATGCAACAGTATAGCATTGGGTTGTAAATAATTGCCTGCCATAGAAATGTTTATAAACGAAAACATTATTTTAAAATAATACAAAATATTCATTAAAATACCTCGTGGAATACTTGCAAGTGTGCACACAATGATTATGAAGAAAGTTTATTGAATCAATATTTGGAAGACATACAAGACCACTGAAAATCTCCCTCGATCTGGGGCTTCATGCAAGATCTCACCCCGTGGGGTCAAAATGATCACAAGAACGGTGAGCAAAAATCCCAGAACCACACGGGGGGACCTAGTGAATGACCTGCAGAGAGCTGGGACCAAAGTAACAAATCCTACCATCAGTAACACACTACGCCGCCAGGGACTCAAATCCTGCAGTGCCAGACGTGTCCCCCTGCTTAAGCCAGTACATGTCCAGGCCCGTCTGAAGTTTGCTAGAGTGCATTTGGATGATCCAGAAGAGGATTGGGAGAATGTCATATGGTCAGATGAAACCAAAATAGAACTTTTTGGTCAAAACTCAACTCGTCGTGTTTGGAGGACAAAGAATGCTGAGTTGCATCCAAAGAACACCATACCTACTGTGAAGCATGGGGGTGGAAACATCATGCTTTGGGGCTGTTTTTCTGCAAAGGGACCAGGACGACTGATCCGTGTAAAGGAAAGAATGAATGGGGCCATGTATCGTGAGATTTTGAGTGAAAACCTCCTTCCATCAGCAAGGGCATTGAAGATGAAATGTGGCTGGGTCTTTCAGCATGACAATGATCCCAAACACACCGCCCGGGCAACGAAGGAGTGGCTTCGTAAGAAGCATTTCAAGGTCCTGGAGTGGCCTAGCCAGTCTCCAGATCTCAACCCCATAGAAAATCTTTGGAGGGAGTTGAAAGTCCGTGTTGCCCAGCGACAGCCCCAAAACATCACTGCTCTAGAGGAGATCTGCATGGAGGAATGGGCCAAAATACCAGCAACAGTGTGTGAAAACCTTGTGAAGACTTACAGAAAACGTTTGACCTGTGTCATTGCCAACAAAGGGTATATAACAAAGTATTGAGAAACTTTTGTTATTGACCAAATACTTATTTTCCACCATAATTTGCAAATAAATTCATTAAAAATCCTACAATGTGATTTTCTGGATTTTTTTTCCTCATTTTGTCTGTCATAGTTGACGTGTACCTATGATGAAAATTACAGGCCTCTCTCATCTTTTTAAGTGGGAGAACTTGCACAATTGGTGGCTGACTAAATACTTTTTTTCCCCACTGTATGTGTATTTTCCCACAAACTGACTGTTGTGGATAAAAATCAGTGCGTGATGATGTAGTGCATACTTTTTTCACTTACGTTTTTATGTACCAAATAAACATCTAAAGTTCAATATTTTTCCATAGTATTTTCAACTCTACCAATAGTTTTTTCACAAAAACTGTTGCGTTAAATAGCAAATGTGCCTACTCTGCTCTTGGCACTTGTGCTCTAGCCAACAGCTTGCAGATACAGTGCGGGTAGGCTAGTCTACATGATGAGATTATTATTATTATTATTATTATTATTATTATTATTATCTATAGAGTGAGAATATGTGAGGGATAAACGCAGACGTTCTGTACATTACCTTGGAAATAATGGACGACGCAGCAGGACAAGGTGGAGCCGAGTCCCTTTGCATAGTTCATTTCTCCAAGGTAATGAAAACAATACTTAAGCACACATTCATTGGTAGAAATAAAAATAACTTTCATATTTTAATTTTTATAAAATAATTCATACTTTCTCATCTTTTGGTTGCAAGAGACGCGACCCAGTCGTTCGTTCTATATGTTCCGTTGCCATGCTCGCTGGCAACGTTCTTATCCCTTGCTTGCTAGCTAGCCAACTAGTTAAAGATAAAACAGTCATGACCTCTGCAGCCAGAATAACAGCAAAGTTGCTGCATTTGCATTTGTTTAAGATGTTTTCTATTGAAATTCATTTGGATACATCCATAACAATGGGCTGATGATGCCCGACTTTGCCTGGCACAGCTAGAAAAGTTTGCCTTCTCGTCAGGACACTCGACTCTGTTCATTACATTGCATATCAAACACCAGGCTCGAAGCTAGCTAAATAGTTTTTTGCAAGCAAACCTGCCAATATGACAACCAAATTCAAAAATACCAGTTGCTGAAAACAGCTGGTCAAACTAGAAACGTGGGAGGATTTGACAGCATGTCATGACTGTAACAGTAACGTTAGAGACCAGTGAAATTCATGTTCATCCCTCACCACGTAGGTCATCAAATGCTCCAAAAAAATATGTCTTCTGCAAAAACAAATAAATGATAGCTAACTAGCTAGCTACGTTTTTCCTGGTTGGACCTGCGTTTACAATGTATCCAATTTCGGTCTGTGTGGTTGTTGGTTTAGCTTTCTGTAACTTTGTAGCAAATACGGTCTGTGTGTGTAGGTGCATTTTGTGTCATGATTGCAAGGTGTCCCGATATATTTTCCAACTGTCCTGATGTATTTTCCAACTGTCCCATTATCTGGTTTCAAATCAATTTTACAGACACAAAAAGATCCCACCATGTCGAACGAACAAATTATCTGTCTGCTTTATTTGTGGGCTGGAATCGAACCCACGCAGACAAAGTAGGCCTATATCTGCGTGCTGAGGGCAGTGGCCCTAACCGCTAGACCTTAGGATACACTAGACACTTGTATGTCGTAGCCTAGTGGAGACCAATATCTATCTTGTGTTATTAAGCTATATAAAACAACGGTTGTTGATGTGTATGGCTGCATTTCAGATACATTTATTACATTTTTATAGATTTGAATGTTGCAATATGCCTAGTGTTCGCGTGAGCGAGAGAGAACATATTTTGATAGCACTGATCCCAATGACCGCACGGGGAGAAAGAGAACTGCTCATTTTCAGCCACTCACAAGGCTCATTTGAATATCCAGATTGAATCAGGAAAAATCGCCATGACAAAAGAGTGGTCAAGTTAAGATCCGACATCTGTATGCACCAGAGCTGTCTGATGAAATCATTGGACTAGTTCTTCAAAGTAGATAAAGCATACTTTCACAAACTGTCTCTACCCCTCTCGTCATTGTGTACATTCTTCTCTCATGCAGTCTGTTTGTATCTAACCTAGCAAAGCAGGCGTAAAAGTGTATCTGTCTCTGTCTGAGACGGAAAGAACCGGAGCAATGGATGATGGTCATTGTAGTTAGATAAGTTTCTGCGCTGAACTAGGTTGAATATTTGCTTAATGAAATCTACAACTCCCTTTAGCCCAGCGTCACACATAATTCTTGAATTGATTTTTCTTGTGAATTATTTGATTTCTTTCTAGAGAAACATGGAATTCAAGTAATTGAAGTGATGTCGGTCAATTGATTGTTTAATTAATGAAAAACTAAAATAAAAATCTTGGTTAATCACTCAGTACTGGTGTTGGAATGGCATGGCCAACAACAGAATGGTGTGGCCGTATACCGGTCATTAAAAATATTCATGTGAAAAGACCACTGATTGGCCACTTGTTGACTCATACTCTATGAGGAAATAGCAAGCATTTTCAAAACAGTCTGTTTGAGATACAAGTTTGAGGTGGGGTTTTTGAATATTTTTTTCTTAAATTCATGCTTTGGCCGCAGATACGAGTATAGAATGAGTCAACAACATTATTTGGGTATGAGTTAACAGAATATTAACTTTTAAAAGTGAGATTTTCACTGGAAAGTTACTTTAAATAAAACTAAACTAACTAATCAAATCACAGCACACAAGCCTAGGCAGTCAGTATTCTTGTGTGTGTGTGTTTGGACCACTAAATGGCGGCTTTGCTGGAATATATTAATGGTCCTTAATCAGGTAATTAGGCTTTCAAATCCTCTACTATGACATTGCATTCGGGAGCCCTATAACATTATGATTATTATTGTGTTATTGGTCTGCAAACAATAGCAAGTTCTACTAGTATGGACTGGGCTTAAAGATACAGTCTGGAATTGATACATCCATTTTTGGATTTTAAATTAATGACATAATATAGCCTGGCTATTGGTTCTTGAAGAATATAACTTATGCATAGCTCATGGGTGTTAGTACAACAGAACTGTCTTACCCTAACAGAACCCCAAATAAAAGCTTGTTTTACTCCATTGTTCGTAAACAATGCCATTGTAAATAAACAGTGTATAGATTGAAAACATTGTTGAAACTATCCTCTGGATGTCATGAACTGTCAGTCCTTGCATCTAGAGTGCTGTCTATGAATTTGAGAGGGGTTACATTTCCCAAGCCCCATCCCTCAGCTCAGCTGTATACCAAAATAAGTGGCAGAGCAGCCTATTTATTGTTTTTCGAATCGCAGACTGTAGCTCTAAACGGAGAATATTACATTCCAAGTTACTCACATTTACATATGTTGTTAAATAAGAGTGCAAAATGCAAACAATGAAATTGATTTCAAAATCACTTCTAAATGACTAAATTCGTAGGATAACATGTAATTTAGATACCCTTGCTCCATCCATGTGGTAGCTTAGTGATCCAAATGTAAAATGGCTTTACACTAATAAATCTGGAGTAGTAAGAGTTTAACCAGTGCAAAGTGCATCTATCTGCTTGGACTGCATGATACAATGCTTTCTAGTGACACACACACAGACCCCGTATATTGACCTTGTATTGTTTTTTATATTTTTCATCTGGGTGGTAGGCCTGTATATAAACCCTTAAGCCTCTGATCTAACCTCGTCACTGTCAGTTAAGAGGATTCTGGCCTGGCTGCCAGTGTGTATGCAGATTTACTACAGATGGCCATGCTGGGAAGTTTATTTATTATGATGGGAAAGCA